GGTGGAGGGGTGGGCTGAACGAGAGTGAATGGCTCAAACCTAGCCAATCAGCTTTCATGATTAAGGGTGGCCTAGTTTTCTGGTTTTTATACCAGCATTTTTCACTATATCAAACTGACTCTCCACCACTTCATCATAAAAATGATGAAATTATTGAGGATGAAACAGAAACGAGGGGATACTGAATGAGGTACTTTAGAGGTTTGTATGGGAAAGATAGTGCTATGTTGAAGAATGTAATTGAAATAAATGCTTTAAAATTAGAATCCACAAAAAATTATGAAAGGTCATAAATGCTGAAAAAACGTTGGAAAATTGTAACGCTGCAGGTGTAGAAGGTATAACTGGAGCAATGTTAAAATATCAATGATTTGTTAAATGGGTTCATGTCTTATTTCTTGTCTGTCAATATTGCATCTGTATCTGACTATTGGCACAATGCCATTATTCTTTCCTTATATAAAGGGAAATGCAAAACTATAGGACTGAATGCAATAGCTAAAGGGGAGATTATTCATTGAATGTTCTTGAGAAATGCATTTGACACAGTTCCAATTGAAATGGCACAAGGAGATAGTAAACAAAATTTGGTAAGTGCAATGCATTCTTATCCTAGGCATAAAATGTGCAGATCATATTTTTTTACTTCAAGTCTTTGAGAAATGCAAGAATATGAGGCAAGTTAATTATATGTGTAGGGGGTAGAGCTGACAACACAAGATTGTTGATTTACAAGAAGCATAACATAAGGTGAATAGGCTTAAATTTTGAAGGTTGGTTGCAGAATGTAATTAATAGACTATGATGGAAGTGAAGTCTACATGAGAATAAATAGCAAATTGAACAAAGTAAGAAAATGATGTATAGTATTTCTTTAGTTGATGTAATAGGCAGAAGGAATAACCTTGAGCAACAGGAGGAAGAGTCACAAGCAATCAAATAAAGGAAATCTGAATCTCAGCCAGATCTGTAACTTTGAACAATGTCTCCAACAAGATCTCCCTAGTTTTCATGAAGGTAGTGAGAGAGGAAGCACATTCAGACTTGCAAGGTTCTGTTACTGTAACTATTTAATGCTTTGTACCTCTACTTAGTTTGGTATATGATGAGAGTTTACATAAGAGGAAAACATTAAAATAGTAATGGGATACTTAAATTGCATATGTGGTAAACAAGTTAGGATCAAGAATTAATGCTGTATGGTTTTGAATTGAATACAGAAGTAAGTCTTTAGTAACTGAAGAAGTACATTGAGAGGGCTTGATTATATACAAAAAATAAATGAGAATCGTATGAATAAATACAGGAAGAAGAGTGAATTTTTGAGAGGAGTAGGAAGACTGAGGTCATTATAGCTGTATGGAACTGATGAGATCCTTAAAAAAGCTGAAATGTTTAAAGGATAAAAAGCAATCCATACTATAAAGTAATGTATGGATATGGAGAAAACAAGGATTGCTTGGGAAAATAGAAATATATGGTAAAATATAATAAGTGTTAGTCTAAATAACATTTAATTTTCTTCTTTTTCCCATGTTTGATTTGATCCTGCTTAGTACTTCTAAATTTTTTCTTCATTCTACATAACATTGCTCATCTCCATGATGTATATAATAATATTATATTTGAACTGCCAAGAAATTTTAATAGAAATTTTTTCATTAGAATTCTGTGTTTTTCAATTGCTCACAACTACTCTGTTAATCTGATATTTATTTATTTATTTATTTATTTATTTACTTATTTATTTATTTATTTACTGTATATAGCCACTTGAATAAATAATTTGGGTGGTGAGCAATATATAAGAAATTTAATTCATAAAAGGTGGGAAAGTTGGTGCAAAATGCAGCGGCCCACATGGTTTTGTGCAGACCCCAGTGTGCACATGTATCACCTCTCCTGCGGGAGCTGCATTGGTTGCTGATTTGCTTCCGGGTGCAATTCAAGGTGCTGGTTGTTATCTTTAACACCTTTATGTTTACCTTTATGGCTCGGGACCAGGTTGTCTGAGGGTCCGTCTCTTGCCGGTCACATCTACCCAACCCATCAGAGCGGGGAGGCAGGGAATGTTGCGGGTCCCATCCCTGAGGGAGATACACCTGGTGGGACCCAGAAGAAGGCCTTCTCCATGGTGGCTCCCACTCTCTGGAATATCATTCCCCCAGACATTAGAATGGCCCCCACCCTAATACTCTTCCGGAAGGTGCTGAAGACTTGGTTCTGCCAGCAGGCCTGGGGAACCCAGAGCGGGATGGAGCTCATTAAATGGCTCATGTGATCTGCTGTCGCCAGGGCAGAGGGTGAGAGTGGGGGTGATCTTGTTATATTATACTATATTAATTTATTTGATTCTTTTTGTTAGTTTTTATTGTTTTAAATGTGGTTTTATATTCTGTGAGCCGCCTTGGGTAGCCATGGGTGAATAGGCGGCAATATAAATTCAATAAATAAATAAAAATAAATAAAAGGCACTATATAATGCTTCATGAGGCACACATACAGGTAGTTCTCAATTTAAAACTACAATTGAGCCCAAAATTTATGTTGATAAGTGAGAAATTTGTTAAGTGAGTTTTGCTCCATTTTACTTTTTTTCTTGCCACAGTTGTTAAATGAATCACTGCAGTTAAATTAGTAACATGGTTGCTAAGTGAATCTGGTTTCTTCATTGGCTTTGCTCACAAAAGGGGATCACATGACCCTGGGACACTGCAACTGTCATAAAAATGAATCAGTAGTCAAGCATCTGAATATAAATCACATGACCATGGGGATGCTGCAATGGTCATAAGTGTGAAAAATTTTCATAAATAACCTTTTCAGTGCCATTGAAACTTCAAACGATAACTAAGCAAATAGTTGTACATCGAGCACTACCTGTATTAATCTCCCCTAACATCCTGCCATTAACACTTGGGGAAAAGGCAAGTTTTAGCAAACTCCTGGAAGGCCAAATAACTAAATATATATTTAATGTAATTAAATATTAAGAGAGACACATTGGTGACCCTTGTTATCCATGGCTTCATTAGAGGTCAGAGCTTGGTATGCATATTAAATATTTTCCTGTATCTGTGGTTTGGGGCTGGTTTTTTACTTTGCACACAGAATAGCAGATGGGCATGCACAAAGTATGTTTTTTCAAGATCTTGTTATCCATAATTTTGTTACCTGTGGTTGCTAGTCTTGAATGTGACTAACAAAGACCACCTGTCCCCATATTTTCCATGTACCAGCAAAATAAATAAAGAGTGAGAGATTTACAGTTCTATCTATTGTCATTTCCCCCCATCCTTTCCCAGTAAATAAATCAATAAATAAATTTGTCTAGTACTTATGTACTAGAGACAGTGTAGTTCAAATGCCGTTAGAGGACATGAGAAGACTGAGGTTTGAGGAGGGAGAGGGAAAAATGAAACGATGAGTGAACAAATGTGATGTCCTTTTAGAATTAAAGTGCATAGCAGCTACAGTATGTTTTGTATATAAAAAATCCCATCGCTTAAAAATTATATCCCAGCCTAATTTAAGGCATTTTCAGGCTAAGTCAATAATTGTTTGCTTTGTAGGTAGAGTTTATGATAGCAAAACATCAGAAAGAGTCTAGTAACACCTTTTCCAACTAACATGTTTTATTAAAAGCATAAACTTAGGCCTTTTAATAAAAGGTGTTGGTTGGAACAAGTGTTACCTGCATCCTGATTCTTCCACTTGTGGGCATTGTGATGATTTTGTTACTATGTACATACCTATGACTATGTAAGAAGCATTTTAAAAGGCAACCATTCATCTCACTGATTACTGATCCTTTAGAGACTGATCTGGCCCTTTATAATAATTGGATGGTTTCAAATTTGCATTAGAAAAGTTATCAAAATCTTTTGTATCTCTCTTAATGAGAGAGGGAGGGGAGATACAAATGCGCAAACACAGACACAATTTAAATGGAAATGAAATAAGACAAATGTCAGCTTTTGTCCTGGCCCCACCAATTTTTCAAGGGTAGCCTCAACATCAAGACTGCCAACTATTAAATTATACATCCCTCATTTAAAAGGAAGCCTCATGTATTAGTGGACATTTAGGGTTCACAGGAAGATAAATATTTGTTTCTTACAGTACTATTTTACATTTCCTATTCTGGAGTGACCAACTATGAACAGGGATTGGCCTTTGATTTTTTTTCAGAATTGTTTAAGAAAATGCATTTAAGTAAATAAATAAAATCTTCATGTATAAGCAGTTCCTGATAAAATTCCTTCCATACACCAAAGTACAAATTGTATCATTCTACTGGTAGGAAAAGGCCCCTGTCTGATTACTATAACATTTGTCTGATTACTACAACATATATTACTATAACATTACTATAACATTCTGTCAATTACTATAACATTTTAATCTAATACATTAATGCTGGATGAACGATCTGACTCAATATAAGGCAGATTTCTGTCTTCCTCTTAACAGATCAGTCTAATCATCTAAAACTGGCCAAGGAACTGAGCAATTCCAACATGCAGGGGGAAAAAAATCTGTGAACATGTCCATTTATTCTTACTTGTTTATGATGGTGTAGGAAGTTAGCACCCACCCCTTTCCTGGAAGAGTGACATATTTTAGGAAATATGAAAAAGGCAGAATATTATATTTCCCTGTATGAGAAATATGAGAAGCATATTTTACAGACAAAGCAGCTCCCACCTTCCTGCCCCCCACCCTTTGTCAATGGGCCATTAAGGCCTGGGCCAGTCTATTCTACATAACAAAGATCTGCCTCCTTCAGGCAGAGCCATAGTAGGAATTGCCAAAGATAGGATTAGCCCTCTACACAATAGCAGCAGAAACTCACCACATGTGACCATCAGCCAGCAAGGCCCCCACCCCCTGGGAGTCTGACAACCAATCAGGATACTCTTTTGGGGCCCCAAGAAATGCAGAGCCAGAGAGAGCATAAAAACCCAAGGATTTACTATATCTGCCCTTTTTCTGTTCAGGAACTCAAGCCATGTGATCCTGTCCACCATTAAACCATCTTTCCAAGCAGTCTCCATGTTTCCAGTGTCTGTTTTCCCCACTTGGAGCAGAACCCAGAAGGATGTTTCTTCCAACAATGGTACTAATTCCCATAGAGTTAATAAAAATGAGCTGCTGCGAATGAAAAAAAAGTTTTGAATTTGGAAAAAACTCAGAATTATAAACTGTCGTAACTGACTAATCATGGCATTGCTTTTAATTGTCTTCATCCCCAAGTTGGGAATTAAATTGTAACATATATTAACTACTAGTTTTGCATTTATAAAGATTTAACTGTTTCCCAGACATAAACACCTTTCTTCTATGTTTCTGATGACTCCATGCAGTTCAAAATATATGAAGCAGCTTGGCAGAATGGGAAATCCAATGAAACTGGTGTCTACAGTTTTAACTACACGTCCCAAAAACCATGTGGAGAGTACTTTTTTTTTTTTTTTTTTTAATTTGATTTATATGCCGCCCTTCTCCGAAGACTCAGGGCGGCTTACAATGTGCTCAGCAATAGCCTTCATCCTTTTGTATATTTATACAAAGTCAGCTTATTGCCCCCACAAACTGGGTCCTCATTTCACCTACCTTAGAAAGGATGGAAGGCTGAGTCAACCTTGAGCCTTGGCGAGATTCGAACCCTGCAGTAATTGCAGGCAGCTGGTCTTAATAAGCTTAATAACAGGGTGCCTTAAACCCCTGTACTACCAAGTACTCCAAAATTACAAACAGATATTTATTCCACACCAGTTTAAATGTTATGCCTTCTCCTGAGAATTCTGACTGCTCCTTATCTACCTTCTCCCCTATCTTTATTACTTTGTTTTTGATGTAATGTTATGTGTGGAGTGGATAAAGCCTAGATCTTCTCAGTCTTCTTGCCATTTGCATCTGTACCAGGCATTTGGGCCTATCTTAGTGGCTAGTTTTGAAGACTGCTTGGCTTTTTTGGGAAGTTTGGAAATGGGAAAATATTGATCAATCTCAGAGGAATTCTAATGCAAAATACTTCCAGGGCAGAAACAGTCCTTCTCATTTTATAAACATAAGATGAGGTTTATTCCCAATACTGACTTGAAGTGACAGTGAATGGATGCAATTCTTCTTCTATAGGATAAGAAACTGCAGCTGACAGGGAGTGTCCCTCATCAGTGAGGAATCAGTTTATAAAGTTATAATTATATGTAAAACCCTATTCAGCCAATCAATGACTGGGTTCACATATTACTAAGCCATGGCCTTATTTTGCAAAAGAACTGTTTATGGATTAACTGTACATGAATCCAGCATTTCAATTGATAAAGTACAATTTATAAATTAGAGTTATGGAGGATAACACAGTTTATGGCATGCAATGAACTACGATTAATGACATCATGGTTTAATAAATTGTCTCTTTTAAATTTAATTGCAGTATTGTGAGATTAAAGTAGAATATTATGTATAAAAAGCTTTTAGGAGGAGGGCAGGAATGTCTGTGTGTGTGTGAGAGAGAGAGAGAGAAAGAGAGAGAGGGGTGGTGGTGGTGGTGGTGGAGAGAGAGATGGAGAGAGAGCAAGTGTGTGTGTGTCAGGAAGAAAATTCACTGTGCTCAGGGTAAGTCCTTTGCAGGCCAGAAATAGCATTTCGGTGTTGCTAGTTGCATCTGGTACCAGTGTCTCCCCTCCCCCCAAACCCTGACCAAACTCTCAAATCCCCTGCAATTTTACAAATCTTCAGAACATTAAAATGTTCTGGAGATCACTGTAATATTAATTTGTGCAGATATTTTCATCATCTATTTAAAAAAAAAAACCCACCCCAATCCACAAACTCCAAATTTTTCCTTTAAAGACTGAGTCATCTTTCATTTGAATAGTGAAATGTTGATTATTCCAGAATACAATCTTAGGGTTTGATTTCAGCATGGTGAGAAAAAGTTATTATATGTCTATGACAACTGATTAATTCTTTCTTTTCCATATTTTTCTCCTACTTTTTTTCCTTACAGACAATGCCTCCCTTTAGTACCGGGGACATGGGCCATCACCAGGCACACTGCCGCTGACCCAGGTTCCCTCTTTTCTTCCCCAGCCTAAAGATGGCCAGTGCCAATGAGACTGAAGAGGGCCATGGCTCAGCACCCAGTACAGCTTCCACTTATGCCAAGCTGCTACTCCTGGGCTTCATCATCTGTGTGAGTCTAGCAGGGAATCTGTCTCTTTCGCTGCTGGTGTTGAAAGAGCGTGGTCTCCACAAGGCCCCCTATTACTTCTTACTGGATCTGTGCCTGGCCGATGTGATCCGCTCAGCTGTTTGCTTTCCTTTTGTTCTCGTCTCTATCCGCCATGGCTCTGCTTGGACCTACAGTGTACTGAGCTGCAAGATTGTGGCCTTCATGGCTGTTCTCTTCTGTTTCCATGCTGCCTTTCTCCTCTTCTGCATCAGCGTCACTCGCTATATGGCTGTGGCTCACCACCGCTTCTATGCCAAACGCATGACTTTCTGGACGTGCATTGCTGTCATCTGCATGGTGTGGACTTTGTCAGTGGCTATGGCCTTTCCACCTGTCTTTGATGTTGGGACCTACAAGTTCATTCGTGAGGAAGACCAGTGCATCTTTGAGCACCGCTACTTCAAAGCCAATGACACCCTAGGCTTCATGCTGATGCTAGCCGTGCTGATCTTTGCCACCCATGTGGTTTATATAAAGCTACTTCTCTTTGAGTACCGCCATCGTAAGATGAAGCCTGTCCAAATGGTTCCAGCTATCAGCCAGAACTGGACGTTCCATGGACCTGGAGCCACTGGACAAGCTGCAGCCAACTGGATTGCTGGCTTTGGCCGTGGTCCCATGCCTCCTACATTGTTGGGCATACGGCAGAACGCCCATGCTGCCAATCGGCGATTGTTGGGCATGGAAGAATTCAAGGCTGAGAAGAAGCTAGGCAGGATGTTCTACGTCATCACTTTGCTCTTCTTGGTGCTCTGGTCACCCTACATTGTGGCCTGCTATTGGAGGGTATTTGTCAAAGCCTGTAGCATCCCCCATCGCTACCTCTCCACAGCCGTTTGGATGAGCTTTGCCCAAGCTGCTGTCAATCCCATAGTTTGCTTTCTACTCAACAAAGACCTCAAGAAAGGCTTGATTGCCCACATTCCCTGCTGGAGGACAGAGCCTGAATTGCCCAGAGAGCCTTACTGTGTGATGTGAGGAATGCTAAAAGGTTGGCTAGAATGCACCCCACCCACGCCAACTGAATTTTTCTTTTTCCTTATACGTCACATGAGGTTTTTCTTCCCCTGCAACGGGTCATTGTCTCCCAGAGTACTTGTATCACAAACACTCCAATCTCTCTGTTGTCTAAGGGCAATTATCAAAATCATCCATTAGCTGCTATGAGACCAGAGCTGGATTCTGGTCTGTGTTCCTCTGGGGTAAATCCAGAGTCATACGCCAACAGTATTTGGTCCCTAGTAGTATTCCATCAGTTCTCAGAAGAGGTGAAAAATATTCTATGCTTTCCTGGTTTTATAATCCCCAAACTCTATCAAATCATTTAAGACTGTCCCTATAAAACTCTATCCCTAGCTTCTTAATACCCATTATTGCTTTGAAAGTAGGCCAGAGTTAGATTTTTGGGTTTGGTCTCCCAGAGCGAAGCCAAAACTATTCCACTTACTGGAGCAGAAATAGTTTGCACTCAGTGGTTTTGTTTGGTTTTACAGCTAGAGGGTGACAATGAAAAGGGGTCCCTATTGATGGAATGTACTTTTATAGAAGATTAATTTTCTGATCCAGTAACTCCATCAATGAAACAAATTCCACGTGATCTCAGAATTTGTGGGGCTATGGAGGATGGGCCGAGAGAGGGCGGAGGAAAGGAGGCAGCAGACAGAATTGTTCAAGGGAATGCCATGGAGCCAGCCATGACTTAGCTCTTTGTCTGTCAGAAGCAGTAACCAGGGAGCTTTGGAAACTCCACCTCAGTTGCCATGGCAGCAACCAATCCAAGACCCTGTAGACCATGTCACTCTGGAACAATGCAAGGAAGAAGATGCAGGAGAAGCATTTGGTGGGGAGAGGCCTGTAGTGGTGGTGGGGAGAAACCTTTCCCTTAAGAGTGGGAAATGCTATATCAAATATGCAAAGCAGAATGCATTCAGGCTGCAGATAAATGTAGGGTGGCTACGTGGAAATCATAAGGCATGATGTCAGCATCATAGTACATATTCTGTCTGCTAAAATGAAAAGCAACAAATAAGGTTTATGTATTTCTATATCCCCTTCCCTTACTACTTGCAAACATTCAAAACATGTGAAACATCAGTAATCCTATCCATGCCACATATGACAAAATTTTCTGCACCTCCTGTTGAGAGATGTTTACAGTTTAAGTAAGATGCTAACCTGCCCAAATTTAGAATCCCATATTTCAGAATTATTCCAGCAGACAAGTTATTCGTCTTTGGATTATTGATAGAAAGAGGACAGAATGTCTCGAGTTAGAAAAGGCACCCTAGTTCTGCTGCTAAACACTAAAATGGAAATCAGACCTAGGAAAAAAGGGGGCGGGTAGACAGCTTGTTAAAGAAAATATGGGTGTACTGGTTACAGAACTGGGAGAGATAATGTTACACCTAATTTGTAGCGAGGGCAGTGAAAATATAGGAATCAAATTTCCTGATTCTCTTCATCCAAAAATATGAATAGAGTTTGGGGTTTGGAACCGGAGAAAGTATGACTGGTTGAGTTCATACTTAGTTATATGACCCAACTGCCCTGTTGTTGCATTTTCTGAAGCAGGAACTCTCCAAGTTCAACCTGATCAATTTCTAGCCATATAGTTTGATCCTGCTGAAATGGACATGGTTACTGTTTGCAATGAAATGCTTCTTATGGGATAGGATTGGGAGGCATGGGCTGGGAGAAAAGATTTAGGGGGAAGGGAATGTTGGAGAATGATTCCTGGAAGAGGCATTGTTGCTGGTATTGTGTGAGAAAGGCAAACGGGACACTTGAAGAGGGCTACATGTCAGGGAAAGAACTGGGGGAATATTAGTTCAGGAGATGGAAGAGTCAGAGCCTGGGATTGGGGGCAGGATATGGGGAACCAGATGAATTTAGTGCAGAGATTGGGGTTTTCCCCGCCTTTTTCCCTCCAAAGGACTCTGATGTTTACTTTTGCCTCTGAAGAAGACTGTTCGTCTTACCCTCCAGTCCTGCCACCACAGTATGGCCTTAATCACTGGCCAGCATTACGGCCACCCCATGGAGAACCATATTTGAAAAATATGGCAGATGAACAGATGATTTCCAGAATGCTTTTTTCTGGAAAGAGACATGAACAAAGTTGTTGTTGTTTTTTAAAGGGGAAATGAATAAAGAAATTGAGACTACAGCAAGGGAGGGAGGGTTGGGTGGGGGCACAGGACAGATGGATGTGTGTCCCCTGCAATGTATGCTTCTGAATTTCTTTCCGATGGGACAGCTTGGGATAGTGGGTTGGGGGTGTAATTCTGTGGGTGGAAATTGAGATTTGGGATAAGGATTCAGACTGATCCTACCCCACCACCACCCTTTTTGTGTCAAAAATTGTTTCCACTTCCCTTTTTTTCTGGGGATTTTCTTGTTTGGTTTGGGTTTTTTTAATATACATATGAAATGCAATGAAATGCAAAATTCCTGGGTGGTTCTTTTTAATGAAAAGCAAGACCAAATATAAACAAAGAAAAACCAGATGTGAAATTCATGACCCAAGTTCCTAACATCTACTTTTAATCTAAATGGCAGTTGTGGAAGTAGGAGTTTTCTTTCCACCTAGCACCATTTCTCTAATGGAAATAGCCCCTTAACCATGAAAGAACAGGTATTTATCCTTTTCACTCTTTATAGCTAAGAGGCACAAAGCGAGGTGGTACCATGAGGCAAGGATTAATGTTCCATGTCCCCCAGAGTGAAGGTCCTTGTTGATTTGATCCTGGAAAAAAATTACTTTGTGTTGTTTTTAGAAATGTATTGCCACCATTGTCAACAAAGAAGGCATGAAAGTTAGGATTGTAATCTGGACCTCTGTATACATACAGAATATATTTTCCAAGAGTGGAGCAAGGTTGAAAAAATGCAAAGTATTGTACTGCTGACTTTGTTGAAAGAGTATCATTTACAGACAGAATGAATATTTGTATGAGTTGAGTACCCCCTGCTCTAAGTTATATACACACAACATTTCCTCTAATTTTATCTGGTCCTATACAATTCTACCCACCAGTAAGTATTGGCAAGTTGACAGCTCTAAAATGAATTCTGAACTATATTTTGCAATCTGATAATTCAAAAAAAGTATTGTTACTACTAACCTGTGCATCTGCTTTCAGTGTTAGGGCACAAATATATGTATCAAATTATATTAATGATATTTGCATGGATGTACACTGGTAGAAGAGGAGGAGTGTCTGCTATCTTCCCCTCATCTTATATCTAGACTCTTGGTTTGGATGCCAAAATTATCACAGGGAAGATTTTAGTTCTAACTCTTATTTCATAAAAAAGAAAGGAAAAAATCAGCACAAGTAAATCTTAAAAAATTGTAACCATTTCAGGCTAATAGACCTAGCAAGATGAGTTCCACTGTTTAATAGACCTAGCAACATGGGCCTATTGACTCACTTCATCATTTGTCAAAGTATGCCCAAAAGTTGCTTTATTCCTCTATTCTTACAGTATGAGTAACAGCAGTTTTGGCAAACCTCTTCGCACCATGGCATTCACAACCATTTCCCCTCATATCTCTTTGATCCTTATTCTCACATCACACTAACCATTATGTGGTTGGATTGGGTCAGTTTTGAAACAATATGATGTGTGAACCCAGCCTCTACAGTTTAAACATGGGAATGACTGCCCAGGTGCATTGTAAAGATAGATTTTTCTTAAAGCTTCTCTTATTCTTTGAAATCCATTTTGGCCCAACATCCTGCTTTAAAAAGTCTGATATCTTTAATTATGTGCCTGTTTGGAAGGAGAGACGTAACTTAGATTAAGAGTTAGAAGGAAAGCTTTTAGGATCTCCAGAGGTCTGGCTGCCCATGTTTAATATGTATAGATTTTTCTAGGTAAGTTATTTTACAGATGAAAATCATAATGAAGTTCTACTCTACACTTTAGAATATTTTGGATGGCATATCAATTTAATAACTAAATTAATACATTGTACCTCAAAAATTACAGTAGATACAGAAAATCTATAGCATAAACTCGAAAGGACAAACTTATTTCACATAACATGCTTTTTTGTCTCTTCTCTCACAGAGGCAGACATAACTCTGCTTACTTCCAAATCTGAAACTAGAATTAAAATGTGCTCCATTATGTTAACATTCCAACTAGTTAAATCAAATTCTGTAAGGTCACTAGTACAATCGGAGCTGAAAAGCCTTTTAGCATGCCTAGGAAAAATGTCTCATCCCTAGATCTGATAAGTCTGCCAACATTGCTGCCAGATTCCGTTCCTGAAAAAAACTGCTCTGCCGTTTCATATTGTCTGTGAATATCTTTTATCTAACTTCACTTTGGCTACCTTTGAAACCCACTACATCCATTTTTAAAAAAATTTTTAAAATATCCATGAGGACTTCCACACTGCCATTCTTTTCACTTCCAAGATGTTCCACAATTCCTGCTTTTTGTACTGGACTTGCAAAACTGAGAGCAAAGGATAAGAAATCACTGCCCACCCCTGAATTACTTATTGGAGGTCCTGGAGAAACACAAATGCCCTTACTTGCACTCTATGCAAAAGGAAGTTTTTAAAATGTCTTTCACCCAACCCCCGTTCCTGTTCTTATTTTATGTGATATTTGTCTGTTCATATGCAAAGAAACATAAACAGTTCCTGGGAGAAGGGAAGGAACATGGGCTTCACACCATCTTTCTCCCTGAAAGTCCTCAGGAACTGGAGAGAGGAGCTCCCACAAATGGGGAGACGACCATCCACAAGCTCCATAGAGCTACAGCATTGGAGGGATTAATTTTACTGCTGTTTCAGAGAAACCGCAGCTGAAGCAAAAATAAAATGGTTTGTTGTTAAATACAGCTGCTGGCATGGATCACACACATATGAACCTGCTGAACTACACAAGATCCTTACATGGAAGCACCCAGAATCCAACCGAGATTGTGAGAAAGCAACCACTTCTACTGTGTCATTACAATAGTATATTATCAATATTATAAAACCCCCCACAGCACTAAAAACATTGCCAACTGTTGCTCTGTGTTGAGGTGATAAGGAAATGCCCACCATATGCCCACCATATTTATGCAAGGAGTACACAACTAGTGTGGCTCCAGATCTGCATGCAATTCCACAAAGCCTTCAGCATACAGAGCTTTTCCAAAATTTTTCATGTGATATAAGGGAAGTTATTAAATATATTGAAAGTAATCATATGAATTGTGTTTAACTGATATTAAACTACATCAAATTTTTCTCTGACACCACAGCCTGAAAAAGTTTGTGTACCTTTGTTTTTAACTTCAGAGCTACACAATAAGGAGTGTAGCTTAGTATGTTGCGGCCTTAGACTAAGGGTGGGGAGACAAGGGCTGTCCCAAGATATCTTGCTTAAGTTCAAAGAAAAATGGCATTTTCTTCCATTCCACATGAAAACAAAGGGTTGGCATGTAAACCTGTCATCAAAAGCCCTCTGCCCACCTAAAGGCAGTGGGCAAGCCCAGGAAATGGTGTAGCATAACATGGTATCTGCTACCTTGGGCAACCCTTTGACTCTAATAGCAGGCCCAGTTGTTTGGGAGTCTTAACATTGAAATCCTAATACAGGTAGTCCTCAACTTAGAACCATTCATTTAGTTCAAAGTTACAACGACATTGAAAAAGTGACATACGAACGTTTGACCATTGCAGCATCCCCGTGGTCACACGATCAAAATTCAGCCACTTGGCAACTGGTTCATCTTTATGACAGTTGAAGTATCCCAGGGTCATGTGATCCCTTTTGCAACCTTCTGCCAAGCAAAGTCAATGGGGAAGCCAGATTCACTTTACAATCATGTTATTAACTTAACAACTGCTGTGATTCACTTAACAACTGTAGCAAGAAAGGTCATAAACTAGGCCAAACTCACTTAGCAAGTCTTGTTTAGCAATTAAAATTTTGGGCTCAATTGTGGTCGCAAGTCAAGGACTACCTGTAAAAAGTAATATGAAAAATGTGAGGTGGAAGCACATTCTAGAGAATTCCAGTCATCATAAAGAAAAGCATACAGGTATTTCCACTGAGGCCTGTACAGAATCCTCAGTACATCAGGCTGTGATCTGTATAGTTTTTCATTTCCTGTCCTCTTCCTTTTGCTCCCTGGGCACTTATTCGTGTTTTTATTTATTTTTGTTCAAACTTAATGGCAAAATATCATAAAAATGCCATCTGTATTTATTGATATGTGTATATTGGGACAATCACAATTAGAAAAGATGATAATTCTGGATGCATTCAGAATGATTTCAGGGATCACTTGACAGTAAACTTCAAATGATCTGAACTGACAAGGACCAATTTTGGCACTGCCGGCAATGCAATTAGCCAGGAAGCCCACTGCTTCCCATGCTCTCCAAAGGGGAATTTTTTAAAAAGCAAGTAAAAAGATTGCTGTTTTTCTCCAAGTAACCAGAGTTACTTTGCTTTATGTAGGTCACCCCAAAGACTTTCTCACACGCTACACTTCACTAAAGGCAGTTCTCCTTTGCACAGGACAACCATCTTCCTATGCAACTATCCTTTAACCCATTAAAGTATATTTTTCTTTCGATTTTTTTAGTCTTCTGAACCTGCTAATAAACGAGGGGAGGGAGTAGTCACCTTACATTGAACATGGTCCAGATATCGTACCTTGAATCTACTGAGTTTATATGCTATTTTTCCCTACCCCTCACACCATTAGCATTCTGGAAAACCTTGAAAGTTCCACATCTGGTCCTGGCAAATGGGCTTCTAGTTTCCTAGTGGTGCTATGGTGATCAATCTGATTTAATTAACACAGGAAATCTCAACAAAAGTTTTGATTGTCTTAAGGGAACCCAGCATGAAAAGGATAAGAAAGGGTTCCAGGATTCTTATATCCTCCCAAGCCAGGAATAAATGCTTGATACTACTGTGAGACAGATTAAGTAGGTATCTCAAGTGGCAGATTTGGGGTGCTATTCACCATGGAGGGTGTGCCATTAAGATTTTCTGCTTCAAGGGTTAAAACATTTTGGACTAGCTCCATTTGTTCTAGCATCCACCTAATGGTGCTGCCCTCCATCTTTCCTCATTTGCTCCAAAGCAACGTGGGATGTATTTTTCTGCATGAAAAACAGCAAGTTGAGAGAGTATACACTGGGAATAACAGTAGTCGTAAGCTAAAGCCAACCAACCAATATTGGCATTTTAAAAAAAGGGGGAGGGGGACAGGAAACCAGGAAGCAAGTATGATGACAGTACATAATTTTCATCTAATAATAATATTTCCACAGATTGTGTACAAATGTTTGAAAAAAAATGTGATATCCTGCCTGAAATGAAAAGGACTAAATGAGTGCATCGATATCTGATTTGCTGTTATATTTTATACAAATATAATTTAATTTTTGATCAAACTATGGGTAAAATTGTGGTCACTGAAAAAATATTTTCGCCAACAAAGATAAATATTCAAGGTTACTTAGCAATTTAAAAAAAAAGCCCTATTTTCAGATAAGGTCTTTAGTAGTGTGGTTAAAATTTGAGTCTTGTAAGGATATAGCAAGGTGGTTTTGCAAAGTACAGGTAGTCCTCAACTTATGACCACAACTGAGCCCAAAATTTCTGTTGCTAAGACAGTTGTTAAGTGAGTTTTGTTCTATTTTACAACCTTTCTCGCCACAGTTATTAAGCAAATCGCTATACAAGTTAGTAACACAGTTAAGTGTATCTGGCTTCCCCATTGACTTTGCTTGTCAGAATGGGCAAGGGACATTGCAATTGTCATAAATATGAGCCAGTTGCTAAGCCTCTGAATTTTGATCACATGATCATGGTGCTGCAATAATCAAAAGTGTGCAAAATGGTAATAAACGAAAGGTTGTAAATTGAGGACTACCTGTATAGATTTTTGGAAGGCAGAGAGATTGAACAGTAATCCTCAATCCTTTAAACAAATGGGCCCTAAATTCAAATTTTGAGAACTATCAATACAAAATGCAAAATAATACATAATATTCTCAACTGCTTTGGCACAGTTTTGTTTAACCTATTCCCTCTAGGAGCAGTTAGCAGAGCAGTGCTTGAGGAATCAACAAGTCAGAAGACTGAACATATGCCACCTCAACCTCTCTTCAACTCCAATCATAATTTCCTACATGTTGCTTCTTCAGAGTTTAAAAACAGATCAGTAGTACTGAATTTACTAATAGTTTTTGGCTTTGTAGTAAAAACTCTTTTGCTTCAGCAGCTATTTTGCAATTTTTTTGCCTTGCCCTGAAACATAACTTAAAGGACATTCTGAGAAGAAATGAAACAATTAGTTTTGGGATCTTTCTTAATATTCCATAGGTTTATGTTACGTATTATGTTAGACAAAATGTCACAAACAGATTGCCAGCAGCGCAGTTTTTGCTCATTTTCAAGCCATTCCAGTGGTAGTGTCTTAATAACAAAAAATACTGCCTTTCAAAACATTTAAAACGGCTAAAATTATACAGATTTCAATATGTACCCCATATGTTGAATACTTACAACCTGACTGGGGCATATAGAGGTTTTGTTTCAAATAATACTTATTTGGTGTTTAATAATTTGTATTTAGCAGATTGAATGCTCCATATATTATCTCAAAAAATCCTTTGGGAATGTGCATAATAAATTCTGAGCTCTCTAGAGGAAACAGAAACAGCATATTGAATCTGGTCAACTGCTTTTCATTTCCACAGTCTCCCTTGCCCTTCTACAATGAGTCCCAAAGAAGTGATCTTCTCAACAGGTGCAATTGTTTCAAAAGTTTTACAATACTATGAAATGAGCTGCTTCAGCAACCTGGGCTCACATTGCCATCTTGTGGACTCTGTTGCCCAAACAAATTCCTTTCTTGATTACTCCACTTTAGTTGTTAGGAAGGCAGAACCAAACCCTCAGTCTTGACCAATTCTATATGAATGCCTTTTCCAGCTTTTTAATACACACTTAAGAATTTTGTTTTGCTGTGCTTGTTGGTTTAGAAAGGGTAGTCAACGTACGGATCATCCAGTTTTTATATTTCGTCATTTCCTTAATATTGATCCACTTTGGAATTGCATCATTAAGTAAATACAATGAATCATATGGATCCCTTTAGGAGCAGCACAAGTGGATGCAGATGTCCAGTGCAGCTAAGATATACCTGCATTGCATATTTACCTTCACACACTAGGCTCAGTTTTTTCCTGGTCACGTATTTTGTAAACCTGGGGAGAGAGTAAGGTTCACATCTTCTCTTTCAATGATCTCATTTAGAGTTGCAGAAGGGAAACTATAGCTTTCTTTAGCTGCCCTAACTAATATATTGCATTCCCTGAAGCTTAGCTGATGGCTGGTAAATGTGAGACGGAGTGGGCAAGGTTCCCTAGGATGA